CCCCCGAGCCGCCCGCGGCCGCGCCCGCGCCGCAAGTGCCCACCTCGCCCAAGCCCAGCCTTAGCGTCCAGCCGGCATTCCTGGCCGACCTCAACCGGACTCTGCAGCGCAAGTCCATCACGCGGCACGGCTCGCTCTCCTCCTCCCGCCTGTCCCGAGCCGAGCCCACGGCCACCATGGACGACATGGCCTTGCCCCCTCCGCCCCCCGAGCTGCTCTCCGACCCGCAGAAGGCCAGCCTCGGGGGCAGCCACATTTCAGGCTACGCAACCCTGCGGAGGGGGCCCCCGCCGGCTCCCCCCAAGAGAGACCAGAACACCAAGCTCTCCCGGGACTGGTAGCTGCCCCCAACTTCCCACGCCGAAGTCACTCTGCAGCCAGCTCTCCCGAGCACCCGTCAGTTTGGGGGTGTTAATTCAGGTAGTGTCCACCTAGACGCGGCCACGCTCGCGCGTGCGCAGCTCACAGAGGTGTGTGTGTAGATAGAGGCCGGACTGAGTGGTTCTATTTATTCCTTTCCTCTCCTCATCTGAAAACGGATTTGTGTATTTGGGGTGGAAGACATAGAAGGGGCAATGTGTTCAGTCTGTTTCTTTCGTCTATCACGTGGATTGGACCAAAAAACTTCTAGTTACTATCAGAAGGCATCTTCTAAGTGTCTGTCCATGTGCAGCTTATTTGTGCATGTTGTTATATAATTAAGAAATAGATGCATAATGTGCTTTTTTTCCGTTGGAGAAAACCACCAAAATGTCTAGTGTATCTATAGGGCTTTTGTTTTTTCTTTTCCCCCCAGTTGGTTGAAGTTAGAACTTGACTGAGATTTCGAGATGCTATTGTAGACATTAAGGGGCACTTTAAATCAGGAAAATCTCTCAGCTTCATAGAACGGGTAACTAGTACAGAAGGGGGAAATATTCAGATATTATATGTGGCTATACATAGAAGAAAATAAATCCATGGTGTAATTCTAGTTGCAGTACTGCAATGATGCCACTCACATCTAGGATGTGTTCTCTTAACAGGTAAGCTCTCTGCCTACAATTCATGGAAATTGTGATACTGTTATTCTGAGTAGTTTGAGTACTGTTGTTTGAAGCTTCATCACCGTGGAGGTGAAGATCCATTACAGTATCACTGTAATATGCTGTTCTTGTATGTCTTTAGATCACAGCTCTTCTTACAGCGTGCTCTACAAGGGTAGATGTTGATACTGTGGACAATCAGCATATGAAATACACATGTGCAGTGCCCATTGTGGCACGTCATTAGGAAAACAGAATCAGCTTCTCCAGTGCCTGTCTTTTTTGTACATTGCTCTCTGAGAGAGGAGTAAGAAGACAAAAAAAAACCTGGGCCTGGTGTCACTCAGGTTGTTTATGGGTTATATGTAATCCCATAGAAAGAAAGAAAGATAATAAATGAGGCTTTTGATAATTTTATCCAAGGCTACTAGAACTACTGAGACCGTGGCTGGTTGTAGACATGTGTCCAGGTGACTAGTTGTTCTGATGCACAGTACTGTGGCAGACTGCAGTCAGAGACATTACAAATTACGCATGTGGAATCTGCTGATGACACACTACACTTCTATATACTTTATATGCTTTTGTTTTCTGTGACTTTTCCTTGATATGTATTGTCTTGTTCATCTATGATAGCAAATTGACAGGAATAAAATGCAGTCTTGTAGCTATTTTTAAGCAAGAGAATAAAAGCTGACCAGTCTAGCAATGATAGTGTATACATCTGGCAATGAAAGGCTAACTGCAGAAATCTTAGGCACTTCCCAAAGAAGCGTGCTAATTAGAGTGGGGCAAAGGTGGTAAATTATCAAAAAATAAAGTTTTACTATGCAAGGTTATGAGCACGACCAAGAACTCTCCCAAGCGAGAACTGACTCACAGATGAAGGGGCACTTCTCCATTGCTTACAGAGCAATAGGAAAACAGTCACCATTGTGATCGTTCTTTAAAATCCTTGGTTCTTTATTTAGGGGATCTTTTGTTCAGTTTTGCTAGGCTTCACAGGCTTAGAAAGTGACCTTGGAACATATCTGCATTGTGAATCTAAGCATGCACCGTAATTTGAGTAACCTTGGTTACAAATTGCCAAACTCTACTGGGACTCTGAATGAATTTCCCAGCCTTCCACCCTGCTACTTTATATTTTAAGGAGCCACCCATATTTGTAAGGTAGGCTTAGAATATGGATCTACTTTTCTAAATGTTCATCTCTAGGGAGTTTTGAAGGATTTTTTTAAATTGTTTTTTTTTCATTTTTTTTAATGAGGGAAAATAGTTTTAATTTTCCTCTAGGGAGAAAAATAATGTTTTGTCTTCTTTCACTTATATTAGACCTCTCTATCCATAGCCTTGTGAATTTCTTTGTCTGTCTTGTATTCATCCTGAACGGCTGCTGCTGATGTGTATTCTTGGAGCAGACATCTGAACACTAGTGATGCCAGACAGGGACCAAGTCATTTCTGTCCCCAGTCCTGTGGGCTGACCACAGGCTG